TATATATATATATATATTCAGAATGAGAATCTCCTGTATGTTCCAGTAGGGGGCGGAGCAAACATGAAAAAAAAACATTGTAAACAATCCCCTTGACAAAACCATTTAAACACTCATAAATATTCCATTTAAAAACATACCTAAACTAATACAAGCAACAACAAAAAACTACTTTTGAATAATACTGATAAAATTAATTAAATAATTTTTTTCTCCAAAATGTAAGTATTTGTTTAATGTTTAAACAGAAAATGAACACCATGTAAATGGAAATTTTTGGTCAACTGTGATGATGAGCTGTTCAAAGTTTCAAAGACTTGAAGGAACCATACATAAGCTACAACGCTACTGAAGTCCATGCATCAGTGTATGTAACATCAGTTTACTCCATGCAGGATGATGTAAATACATATAGTCTTTTAATTTTACAATCTAATGTGCATATTGTCTTGATAATAGACAGGTTAGTGTAAAAGTCAAAGGTCAGTGTTCTGGCCTAGTCAAAAACTGAACCATTCCTAAAAGGATCAAACAAGAATCTTCTAAAATAATTTCTGTCTTCATTTAGACCCAATCATAAAGAGATCAAACTAGATTCTTAAAAATTCTCCTGGATAAAGTGAAGATTCCATTTTCACTTATCAGAATTTCATCTTAAGGGATCATCACTGGATCATCTCATTTGATCTCTTTAGGATTGGTTTCAAATGATATGGACTATAAATCCATTACGATTTTTTTGAGCTATAAGGAAAACATTCTCAGTATTGTGATACAACATGCGACTTTTATCACTTCACCTCTGCAACAATGAAAGTGACACCTAGTTCATTCACCTAGCTATAAAGAACTAAAACTGTCTGCACAAGCAAACATACACACATGTGACAGGTTCTTGACCATCGGGTCCATGACTGTGTCCCTCTCATCAGTATTCTGCTGCACTAACATGACAAGGCTGGAGCAAGGCTATCCAAACATCGAGCAGAAAACGGCCTTACAGAACATAACCATTCATAACCAGTGTCTAGAATGACTTTTACTTTGGCTAATTCATTTATTGCCTGCATTTATCTCAAGATAGCCTAGTTCTTTAAAGGGGTCATATGATGCGATTTAAATTTTTCCTTTCTCTTTGGAGTGTTACAAGCTCTTGGTGCATAAAGAAGATCTGTAAAGTTGCAAAGACTAAAGTCGAACCGTTCTCAAGCTCACCGGCCTCCTCTCACTCTAGGCCGCTGTGTGTGACACTGTGTTTCGTTTGGCCTTCCAAAAGAAGACATGACTAGAAATCAGTACTGTATTTCCCGCATGGCCTATTTCAGCCCAAGATTTGTACAAAATAAACTATACATGTACATATAAAAATATAAATATATATACAATAACTTCAGCTTCACCTAAAGAATATGAGCTGCTAACTTATTCCCTCATCTTCTAAAACATTCACGTCTTGAGTTCATAAAGACACCAGATTGCACTGTAAAATGGAAAGGAATTGCATGAGTATATCTCCTCCCATTTGAACTTTGGAAACTCTCTGCCGTGGTGAAGCCTTCCCAACATGTGTAGTCATTCTTTCTGTTCTACACCACGTCTGCCTCTCAAACTGTGCTCTTCAGGTGAGTTGAATTCATACATGTGTGCTTTAATAAGCATCCGTATGGATCATACGGAAGCTCTGCGATCTTAATATGCCATTGGGTTATTCTTATGATAAGAAATGCTGATAAGAATGGAATTTCGTCAATGTTTTGGTTCAATAATGCTTATTTTGAAATAATATTGTACTGTAACATTGTTAAGACTTTTAATAGTTTTATACACAGTAAAACATTTCTGCCAACTTCAACTTTAACTTCAGTTCAATTGATGCCTTACAATTTTAAGTATAATCGAAATGGCTGTACAAGTTCTTTCAGCTTAAACTATATTAAACCAACTTAATAAAAAGTCAAGCTGAATCTTGTACAGCTGAAAATATGTTGAAATTGGTTAAATTATTTTGATGAGTAAGAGTAATGGAAAAACATGTTGCATATGTTACATTAAAAACATACATTTTAGTTGCGTTAAAAATGTACATTAACATTAGATGATGTTAAATCAACTGCTGTTTTATATAGAATTGTCTATAAAGTATTTAATGCAATTACATCAGAAGTAACTATAATTGAATTACAGATTACAGTAATACCTTACTTTACTTTTTCAAGGGAAATTAAATTACCATAATTAATAACACCTAACACTGATAGGGACAAAAATGTAATGTAAAAAAAAAAGATAATATAACCTTTATATATCTTGACTAAGGTGGTAAAAACCACACACACACACACAAATGGAAAGCAATTTGCTGGAAAGCAAAAATTTTGTAACATTGAGGTAGGTGGGATTCGACATCTGGTTTTTGTCAAGGCATGATATCTCATCCTCTCATTAGGAAAGGTTAAAATATTGCACAATGATGGCATCTTTAGTCAAGCTGATGACGTGTTCAAACATTGCATGTGTGGGGGAGAAACTCTCCGAAATGAATGAAAGCACAAGGCTAATGAAATTGATATGCTGTTTTTTAACTGTGTTAATATGTGTGGAAGTATTAACACCTCGCACTGTGTCTTGTGTTTAAGCAGACTCTGTATTACAAGAGTGATGTTGCTGTTATGGATAACATTATCGCTCACATGGTCTGGTATAGTACACTCTTAACTTCATCAAATTAACTGAGTGAATCTAATGATAGGAGAATAAATCCTGGCAAGAACATGTCCACGGCTGTGCTTCCCAAAATATTACATAAGTACACTCTCAGAAAAACAGAATAATTCTATCACTGGAATGGTTCCCTTTCAAGAGTTACTAAAAAGTACACTTTAGGTACTTATATGTGCTTTTAAAGTACTAACATGAACCATTTAGGAATGAATAAGGTATAAATTTATACCTTTTTAACTTTTGTGCCTTAGGGTACAGCTCTGGTGACAGATTTAGACCTTTTTTTTTATCTGAAAGTATGGATCATTGAGACTTTTTTTTTGCCAATGGTTTCTATAATTTAAGCTTCCAATGCTTTTTGGAAATCCAAATGTATAATATGAGAAAGTTACACAGATTTTTCAAAGTGTGACATTATTTCTATGACAATTAAGAACAATTTTAAGCACCAAAAATAAAGTACTACAATAAAAATAATTTAATGATGATTACCATTGTGTAAAATGGGAATTACCACAAAAAAGTCATTATAGCAGGGACATTGTGCTTAACTGTAATGCGTTTAATTGTATTACTTTAAAAAAATAAACATAGCTGTCATTAAAAAAATGTCCCAGTGCAATGGTCCTATAAATCAGGCTTAATTTACTTAATTTAATTAATTTGAAGCAAAATATTATTTCAAATTACTCTCATTTAATATGGAGGTGAAATCTGACCTGAATATATTGTGAGATTCGCCCAACTACAGACTATATAATCTTACAAAAATTAATCTCCACAAAAAAGTCATTATAGCAGGGACATTGTGCTTAACTGTAATGCGTTTAATTGTATTACTTTAAAAAAAAAACATAGCTGTCATTAAAATAATGTCCCAGTGCAATGGTCCTATAAATCAGGCTTAATTTACTTAATTTAATTAATTTGAAGCAAAATATTATTTCAAATTACTCTCATTTAATATGGAGGTGAAATCTGACCTGAATATATTGTGAGATTCGCCCAACTACAGACTATATAATCTTACAAAAATTAATCAATAAATCACAATGGTTGAATTATAGACTAAATGCAAGACAAGATTCCCATTCATTCTTTGTGGGATGTAAAATCACAATGTTTCACAGATATCATCTGGCTTGAATTAATTATAATTAATTATATAAAGATTAAATAAACAAAATGAATAAAGATAGTTGTAATATGCTAAAAGTTGTTTTTTTTCCCTCCAAGGCACAATCGGCTTTACGATCCACAGCATGAAGGAAGGTCTGTGTCTAGAGGACTCATCTGAAGGAGTTGTTGAGTTAAGGACATGCAGTCTGGACTCAGTCCTGCAGCAGTGGAAGTGGACAGATCACTGCTTAGTAAACACAGGCACCCTGAGGTGTCTCTCTGCCATCCACACTGACCCAGTCCAGACTATCGCTTGTGATTCTAGTGAACATATCAAATGGCAGTGCAAAGCTCAACAGCTCATCAGTCTGCAAAACTCTCTAGCATTGAGCACTGAGAGAGGAAAACTCAGACTGAACACGGGTGAACATGACACCTGGAAATCTCTGGATGCGGGTGACATCTGCCAGAATAAGCTGAGTGAGTAGAGGCCAAAAACAGCTAATCATTTGAATTACTAGTATTTATTTAATGCTTTATTTGAATTATGTGTCTGAATTGTCATGTTCATTTTATCTGGGTTGACATATACTCCCAACGCTACCTTTATTTGATCATTTATTGTACTATTTAAAATAACTGCTTTCTATTTTAAAATCAATCTAAAATGCTTATTTTCTGCTCAAAAACATCCTTAATGAATAGAAACACATTTTTTGTAACATTATTAATGTCTTTATTTTTGATCCATGTAATACATATTTACTGAGTAAACGTATTAATTTATAAATAACACTGACCCTAACATTTTTAAACAGTAATGTAATAATTGTCACTAATAATCTAGTGAGTACAATATAGTAAGAATATTTCACCCTAAAATCAAATATAAATAAATATGAAAAGAAACTCCACTGACCATCACTTCGTCTCTTCATGTGCATTGATTCTCACAGGATCCAGAAGAGAAAGTGATTTAGAGACCGATGAGTTTGACTTTGCTGAAGAGCCGCCTAAACAAAGAATGACAGAGGCACAGTTGAAGTTTTTACAGTGGTATTACCGCACAGAGGACCGTGAGTGTGGAAAGCTTGTATTTACTGTGATGTCCTGTTTGTCATGTTAGCATAATTTAATTTCACCATGTATGAAACGGCCTGAATGACTTGGAGGTTGCTGTGAGAAAAAGTATGTACTTGCATCACAGTAATACTCACAAATGGTTCAATGCCGTTCTTTTGTTTAACAGCAACATCGTGGAAGTTTGGCATGCTGGCATTTGCTTTTCTGGGTCTTCTGATTGGTGCTATGCTGTTGGTCATGGGCATGATGGCTAATAGGTTAGTGACACGCATTAGTAACACAATGGGTAAATACAAAATAACTTTAGTTACCAAAGAGGAGTTTTATAGTTTTATGAGTGCTACTCCTAGGGGAAAATATCAGTAATAAATTATACATATAGTATATACATTAAATAGCAAATCTCAGCTGCTTGACTTTTATTTGATATATATAATGTATATACTGTATATGCAGGTGCATCTCAATAAATTAGAATGTCATGGAAAAGTTCATTCATCTTTTCATGTCAATAGATATGTGAGATGGAATATTCTTACATAATTTCCATTTCCACTTCAGGAACAGGAAGCAAATAGCCAAATACAAAGCAGCCTCAAAAGTCACAGCGGTGAAACCTGAAATGGAGGAACTGCAGGCCATCGTCACTGATAAGGTCACAGAGGTCAAGGAGGAGAAAACCCATTTTACCCCATACGAACAAATTACTACACATAACAGCCATAGGGATTGGGAAGAGCCTTCATACAATAGCATAGCCTCAGAGGGACTGAAGCCCGGAGAAACTGTGGTGACCTGGAAAGACGGGAATGTGTCTGCTCTGTATCCTGAACCTGCAGAGGAAGGACAAGGGGAAGAGGACGTCCACAACACAGATGCAGGGTCTCTGTCCCAAACCCCCCCCCAAGTAATAGCTTCATATGAGGCAATTGCATTTTAATTTAGTCCTACTGTTTGGGTTCATTTTAACACTATATTCAAGATGGCATGGGATTGGTTGACAGACTATTTTAGAGTTAACCTAGGGCTGTAACCACACTGAGGGGTGTGTATACCCACGTAATTCAATTTAGTGGTCAATCAAAATATTGTTTTTTCAATGTAAATCTCTTTCACATTGGCAGGCAAAAATGTTTAAATGTTTTGAAAGAAATTATATAGCAAAGTTATTTTAAATGCTTATAATATTACTGTATGTCTACTGTATTTTTTTAAATAAATGGTGCACATTAGAGATTTCTTTCAAAAACATTAAAAGCATTTTAAAAAATCTTAATTATTCTTTATAATAACTTGTAGCTGCCAGTGTATATTATTACACTTGGGTTTCCCTAGCCCAACATATATGCTTATAGCCTTGGGTCAACCAACGTTTTTTCTAAACCATACCGTAATAGTCTAACTTATATGGATTAAATCAAACATTTAATCTTCATATTTTTCTTTTTATGCTTCCCATACGAAGCACTGTAAATTATTCTCTTCTCTCTCACACATTGTGATGCAATACAATACACTTGGTCATTTCAATGTTTAATCAATACTAACACAATTTTTTTTTTTACAGTTTAACAAGAACAAATAAAGATAAAGGTGTTTATTTTGTCCTGAAACTTTCTTTGGTATTTTGTGCATGCTTAGGTTTTGTGTTTTGATGTGTATAAAAATAAATGCCCATATGAATTCTCTGAAATTAATATATCAAGTGGAAATAGGTTTTATCACAATACAATACAAGTATAATTCCGGTGCAAAAATCAGTGAAAAAAAATCAACAATTACAACAGAATAATCAGCAATGCTAACAAAGACATTCATTAGCACTCTGATATACTTAGCACACTGTCCATTTTCATAAAGTTACCACTTTCTCAAGTTTGTGAGAAACGTTGTAATCCTTCAGGTCCTGTTAGTTTTAATGCTAAATGAGCTAATATGAAATCAAAACCAGCATTCCTCCTTGTAGATTCTCTAGAGTATCAGAAGAGAGCGTCCTTGCATCAGAAGATCTTGAAGCCCTTGAGCAGTGTAAGCGTGGGGGCTCTGCGTTTGCTCTGAGCTCTCGAGGACTTGACCGTAACCAGCTTTGCGGTGGCTGGGGTGGGCAGCTCTTTATAGCAGGTGGTGAGTGGAGGGGCGGAGGACAGGCTGATCGCAGACTTGTCTTCGCTGATGAAGAGCGGACGGACACTCCTCTCTGTCTCTCGCCGCACTTCTCGAACGGCTTCGTGAAAGATGTGCTGAACGGACAGGAAGTCCAAGCAGGCGGAAACTTCAAAGAACAGGCAACCGAATCGCAAGGCCAGAGCTGCACCATCTGCCTTGCTCACCTGTCTAAAAAAGATGTATTATAAAATGTTTAACAAACACATTATGAAAGCATGTTTCATTCACTTTCCTTACATAAAATGCAGCCCTTTACTAAAATTAAAAATTAATTCTGAAAAATAATATATGCTAATAATATATACCAAAAATCACGGTTTCCACAAAAATAAATCAGTTTTTAACATTGGTAATAATAAGAAAATTTTCTTGAGCAACAAATCAGCATATTTATATTGATTTCTGAGGATCATGTGACACTGAAGACTGAAGTAATGATGCTGAAAATTCAGCTTTGATCACAGGAGTAAATTACATTTTAAAATATATTGAGATTTGTAATAATATTTCTCAACATTACTACTTTTACTGTATTTTTTTATCAAATAAATGCAGCCTTGGTGAGCATAACAGAATTCTTTAAAAAAAATGCTTACTGACCCCAAATGTTTGAAGGATACTGTGCATAGAGCAAACACTACAAAATAATCATGTAATAATGGATAAAAACAAAACATAATCCAAATAAAAAGTGTGTATGATAACTACAGCCTTAAGTAAAATTGCACAATAAAGAGTTAAAGAAACTCTCTAATGTAACAGGAATGGCACAGCAGAAAAAAAAACTGGGGATGAGCAGTTTTATTTAAAGCGCAGCCGGCAAAGAAGCACACATAATTCTGCAGTTACATAAATAGATAGATTTGATTAAGTCCAGCTGTATTATGGTCATTTCAAGTATGATACTGCATAAATCATGCACTGTGTTTGCATAAAGAAAGGAAAATATAAAGACGATAAATGGTCATTTCCTGGACCAATCAAATCCTTACTTAAACATTTTAGGGTCATGAAAAACTGAAATCTAAATAGCTTATGGTTGTACTGAGCATAATTGTTATAATTATAGCTCCGGAGGCCTCTCCTGTCCACGAGTCCGCTCCGGAGGCCTCTCCTGTCCACTCCGGAGCCCTCTCCTATCCACGAGTCCGCTCCAAGGGCCTTTCCTGTTATGGCCATGGAGGCCGTTTATGAACTCTCTGTCTGTCCTGTCACGGCCATGGAGGCCGTTCATGAACTCACTGTCTGTCCTTTCACGGCCAAGGAGGCCTTTCAAGAACTCTCTGCTTGTTCGGTCACAGGAAAGTGGTCTGTCCATGTCTCTGCACCGCCATGGCTTCCTGCTCTGCCGTCATCACCCGGCCGCCCTGCTCTACCTGCACCGCCATGGCTGCCTACTCCGCCGTGGCCCCCCGATCTGCCTGCTCCGGCATGGCCCCCCGATCTGCCTGCTCCGCCATGGCCCCCCGATCTGCCCACCTCCAGTCCTCCACTCTCCTGGACATTGTTTTGGTTGGGGTGGATGTTATTTAGGGCGTCAGGAGCCGCCCTTAGAGGGGGGGATATGTAATGTGGTGTTTTGTTTCATGTTCATGTTTTCCATGTCTTTTATTTTGTAATTGTTTCATGGTCCATGTTAGTGTCATGCTTCCCTTGCCTCATGTCTCTCTGCCTTGTGTATGTGTCATGTTCTGATTGGTAGTCTTGGTCATGTGTCTTGTTCCCCATTGGTTTGTTCATGTCATGTGACCCTCTTGTTTGCTATAAGTAGCCTTCATGTTCCCATTGTGCCTTTGTCGTGTATTGAATGTATTTAACCCGCTGTTTGTGAGTCTAGTCTGTTTGTGTCAAGTCTGCTCATGGTATGTCTGTTCAAGTTAAGTCAAGTCTGTGTCTTGGATTATTGTTTGGATCACTCTGTAAATAAACTGCACTTGGGTTCTCACTACGCTCGCCTTCAGTGGATTGATTCTTTACAGTCTGAATCAGGAGAGAAATATGCACAAATCAAACAATGTTTGTAAGTGAAAACAGTCCAAAACCACTCTAAACAAATATGTTGGTGAAATATGATGTGAGAAGATAACAGGAAATTGACTTTTTCACTGGAGGAAGCGTTATATGGATTATGGACACATATTTTGGCCAGAGTGAGGCAATGGTTTAAAGTTATAACAGCCTAATGATGGATTTGTTTCTTACAAACATGCAGCTTTTCAATTTACAAGACGTTAATTGATAGACTGGAGTCGTGGGGATGTTTTTATCAGCTGTTTGGACTCTCATTCTGACGGCACCCATTCACTGCAGAGGATCCATTGGTGAGCAAGTGATGCAATGCTAAATTTCTCCAAATCTGTTATGATGAAGAAACAAACTCATCTACATTTTGGATGGCCTGAGTTTGAGTAAATCTTCTGCAAATTGTAATTTTTGGGTGAACTAGGCCTATTCTTTAAGATGCATTACCAGGCATTATAGCCTACACATGTGTTGTAATAGCATTATTTACCGAAATGTATAGAAGGATGTTTAACTCACCTGTATCGCTCCATGTCCACCTTGTTTCCTAAAAGAATGACAGGAGCTTCTGGCTGCAGGCCTTTTGAGTACAGAGTCACAGTCTCCAAGTACTGCTGGCAGGCGTCAAAGCTGTTCCGGTTGTCAATGCTGTAGACAATGATGAAGGCATTGGCCCAGCCTAAATAACGCTCACAGTTGACTGGTCCATCCTGATTTAAATAAAGACAGATTTGTTTGCATACTGTAAAGCTGCCAAGGTTATGCAACAAACTTCCATGATGAGAAAGTAAAACATCAACCATTATGAAAAGATCAATCGGAGACAAATGTGAGGTGTCAATCTGCATTAAGTAGAATATTGTCAAAAGAGACAAATGGACATCATTACCTGATCAGCCGTGTCCATCACTTTAACCAGAACTGGCTGCTGGTCTACAACTTCTTCTGAAGAGTAGGTATCTTCTGAAAATTAAATATGTAAAAAAAGATACTGCATGCTTAAAAAAAAAAAAAAACTGGCATTCACAGAAACATTAAAACACTGCGCTCCAGCTCAAGTTACATGACAGTTGCATAATGTGTTTTGTCTTCAGATGAAGTCTCTCTTTTTATTAGGTTCTCTAATAAAGGTTCCTGACATCCATGTGCTTTTTATAATTTGTTTTATTATTATTTTATATAAAGATTACATAAAAGAATTACATTGGAACAAAATGTGAAAATGTGATACAACTACAAAGGACAAAATTGAAGAAAGAAATATATGTTGCATTGGAAAAAGACTTATGATAAAGTTTTAAAGTGGTTTGGCAAAGACAAAGTCAAACTTGTCATTTTAGTAACGTAAAAGCTGTCAGTATAAGCCTCAGCTTTTCATCTTCTGCCAAGGAAAAAACATGAAAATGGGGACTTTTATGTAAAATACTTTTAAGTTTTAAAGCCACCCATCTATGGATCTGAGTCACCCTTAATTACATCTGTATGAAACTAAACTGCCGTGAAGTTAATGCTCCAGTAAGGAAAAACTAATCTGTATGATTGATATGTTTTATTTTAAGATCAGGACCATAATCACCATAGACATTGAGGAGGACACGTCTCCTATATCCAGATGTTCAGTCACTTATTATTGGTTTTTCAATGACCATTCGTTAAAACTCACCAAGGTTTGGGTCATATTCACTGATGAAGCGCTTCGTGAGGAATTTCACTGTAAGTGCTGCGGGGGACAGATAAACTTCCTGTAAGTCTAAGTTCGGAAATATTTTCAATTACATAACAGAGCATCCCAACAGGATAATGGAAAATATTGAGCTTTTTTTTTTTTAAAGCTTTTTTCTTAAAAACAAATCTCATTATGGGGAAAAGGTTTCTCTCTTGGTAAACAAACTAATATCATTAACATATAATAGCATAACATTCATTAATAAAA